AGTTCCACTGTACTTTGAAGGTGATAATGTCACAGAGAACTGATTCTGTAAGTACAACGATTTATTGGACCAGTCTTGTTTTTTTGTGTCACACCTCGTACATATATATATATATATATATACAGCACAGAGGCAAGAATAACAAAAGTTTCTAACAGGTAGCTTCTATAAATGCATACAGAACTTTTATGTACATATAACGATATATACAGCAATGCATATACACATCTATAGTAATTATTATTTTTTTTTTCAAATACTAGGCTTTTATGGATTTGTTCCTCTAGAACTTTTTAAATGTACTATGAACATGATTGGGCATATACTACATTATACTGCTTAACAATTCAGAAACTAATAACATTCAAAATTAAATGAGGGGGAAAAAAGAAGAAACCATACTTTTTTATTAAGTGACTTAGATGAAGAATGCATATCAAACATACTTTCATCTGGATAAAGCTCATAAAATCCACTATGGTCCCACCTTAAATGGAAAGATAAATGTTACACCTGTCTAATATAAATAAATACTCCTGTCTAACATAAATTCAGAGGTCCATGGCAACCAAATAAAAATTTGGAACTTTGAGGAAGAATCTTACAATAATGTTAAAACAAGTTATAGAAACTTAATGAGAAAGAAACTGACAACAGATGTTATAGAAACTTAATAAGAAAGAAACTGACAACAGATGTTATAGAAACTTAATGAGAAAGAAACTGACAACAGATGTTATAGAAATTTAATTAAACAGAGCTTATCAGTAAATTGAAAAGTTATGATTGCTGAAAAAGTGCTCAAGAATGAATACAATTAAATCATTCAAGTTTAACAAGATGTATTTATACAACGTAAATTACTACTAGTTGTATACTGCGGTTTTTAACATTAGTGTTCATGAAATGTTAACAGCACACATTCAGCTAACAAAAATTTGAGGCACACATGTTATTAAGGGTTGGGTGTAAAAGTGTCACATTACTAAATAGAATCCGATTCATTTTAAAGTATGAAAATTTAAAGAAGATTCCAAGTAGAAGATTCAAGGAAGAAGAAAAATTTCTGGCATGCAGTTTAGTTCAGTTCAATTGATGATGAATAGAGGACACATGCAATAGAAATGTTTTATAAATATATTCCAAGACTACAAATTATTTTTATTGCATACTACATTTTCATTAAAATATAAAATATTAACAGCTAAATTAAAACTGCATGTATATAATACACAGGTATTCAATTTACTTCAGTTTTAGATAAGTGTAATTTTTCCATCTATTAAATGAATAAATTAAATAAATAAATATTGATTTGATATGTATCAAATGAAAGAAGAATGCTTTGAATTTTATGATGTCACAAATGATTAGAAATACTATCACTGTAGCTCTGGAAGAAAACAACAACTAGGCTGCAGACGGCATTTTATGTACTATATTTATTCAATTTGATTATCACCATACAAAAATTTCATTGACATTACACAACTCATACACCAATAAATTCGCTGGTGCTACTAAATACATTTGCTACTGGTATTGGATATTTCAACAAATTCATAGTTTTCTTAGCAAAGTGTTTCCATAATCTTAGCAGATTTGAAAAATGGTATTTCAGACTTGATCCTTCATGTCAAATTATTAGTGAGTTATTTGAGCTATTTAAACCTTCAAAGCTACTGCAAATTCATGACTATTATCTTGATACTTGTTGCTTTAACTCTCCCAATATAGAATTATTGATGATTTGAATTTTCCTTTGGAAGAGTGTAAGAGATGCAGTTTTGCCTACAAACTTTCATAATTTTGTTATATTCCAATCCATGTTATTGATAGATATTTGTTTCTTTAACCACTGATACATGACCTACTTCATTTACTATATTTTTGGTATCCAAGGGAAAATTTTCTCAATCCATAAATTTCATTTTTAGCTTGTTGTCTGGAGAGCATTTACATGAGTACAAGACGTTACACTAATTTTTAAATAAAGTGTTCATAGAAACCAATATAAGATTTCAATAGATACAGATAGAAATGAGTGAATAGTCCTACCTCTCTAACTGTGCAGTTTCGCCCCAATTTTGAGAAGCAATACCCTGGGGAAATGGAAGATCCTCAGGTATTCATCTCTTTCCCTATCACCAACCTCTTGAGAGGATTTTCATCTTGCCATGCACTCTAAGTATCCCCTTGACACACAGACACAAACATTCAATGACAAACAGACACTACACACTTACAAGCATCCAGGATTAAAACCTGGGCCCATTAATATGGCAGTCAGCATCATTAACCATAGTGTTCATTAACAAATTGGATACAGCAACTTTATTTACTTTGACAATTATGATTTATTTACTTTGACAATAATTTGGCTGTAAGCTGAAATAGGATGCTTAATGAGAAAGTGCATGACAATGAACATATTTTGATCTTTGCATTACTATAATGCAAATGATTGTGAGTGAAATATTGCATTTCTAACATTTTTAATGGAATGTTAATAACACAACATATACTACAGTCAAAGTCCGTAATCCGGACGTCCATTATCGGGAATGATCTATAATCCGGACCTCAAAGCCACCAACTTTTTTTTTTTGTATGCTTTACGCATGTGCGTAATGCATTTATGCACGCGTGTTTAATGTATAACGGACGGTATAAGCTAGCCTAAAATTATCTGTACTGATTTTAAGGCATTTCAGATAATGTTGCAGATTGCGCTGTTCCTTAATCTTCTAATTGGATCCGGCTTATTATTTTTTGTAGACTGTTAGAGCAATCTTATAAAAATTAAGCTTGGACTTTCGATTATGTCAAAAAGAGTTTTCAATTCTGGAGCTGCCAAAGGATCTACAAAGCGAAAGCATGTTTCGATGTACCGCTTCCGATAGTGAAGAAAGTGACAGAGAGGTTATTTATTGAAAATGAAAAAATTTCGATTCACAAGTTAGTCGGTATTCCAGACACAGCAATTACAGGACTTGAACAGTGGAACTGAACAAGAAATTATGTCTGTTTATAGCATTAAAGAGAAAATATTAGCACAAGAAACGAAGCAACTTAAACAACTTACATTGAAAGAAATGTTTAATAAAGTAAACAAATAAATATTAAGCTTTTTTTTGTAAATTTTGATACCCTTTAGATCATAATTGCTCTTTATTTAATAAATTACAGTTTTATATTTTAATTTGTATAATTTCTGCATGCCATCTTACCAGATTTAAATTGATGATCTATAACCCATAAAAACCCCTAATTCAGAATCGCCGAAGTCCCGATGAGTCTGGATTACGGACTTTGTACTGTAATAACAATTTCCACTATATAAATATATCTAGCTGAAGTCCACAGGTGTGACTGTCATATCTTTAGATTGAATTCAATTAATTTTAAAGAAGAACATGGATTTAACAGGGAAAGTTTGGAGAAGATCCAAGTAGAAGTGAGCTAGTTTCAGGTATGAATTAGCATTATTTCATAAATGCACAAATTATGTATATAATACAGGGTTATTAATAAATACTCATCCATTTTTAAATGAGAATAATTTCGTATCTTGCTATTAGCTATATATTACTTTGGGTACTTATGTATTATTCCACTGACCATGAAAGTTGGCTACTATAGAACCATGAATATTTTGTCAAAGTTTTGCCACTCGTTAGTGGGGAATTCTTAAGGCAGTAACAGCTCCTTATTTCATGAACAATTAGTGTTCAATACATTTTAACTTCATAAAAATGCTTTTGTCGATTTCTACTATTTTGTTAGGCCCTTCCATTTTACTAGAAGCCCTGTTTAGAAAGCTACGAATACAAACTTCCTGAAGGTCACTTTTCCAATCTATTACTGTTTTATCAGCCATATTCAGTTAACCATATTGCGTCCATTAGTACACACTTCTTTTCATGGTAAGATCACATTACTTTGAAAATAATCCACTTTTGCTATTCTGTAGAAGGCAGGTTCCAAATTTTAATCATTTCTTTGGAAATGGAAGAAAAAATATAGCAATAATAGTTAATTAATATTCTTGTACATAAAAACGAAATATGATTTACTGATATTCAATTTAGTTTAAATCATATGAAAGTGCAGATATTATGAGAGTGCTGCCTGGTCATGCTCATCCATAGCTAGCACTAAACTGTGTTGTTTGGCAACATGATTTAGGCCAATAATGGATGTTTGAAACTAAATCATATTTCACAGCTGCGGGATAATACCTAACTTTGATAGAACACATCAAATAAACATGATAATCTAAGAATATTAGAAAAAACTGGTGATAATATTGGTACAACTCTGAAAAAATGTTTACAGAAAATGGCAACTGAACTGCAGATGTTGTTGTATGTTAGTTATTTACTCTTTTCTCATTTCTTAACATAAATTCTGCTGACATTGTACAATTTATGCACCATGCATTAAACGCATCTGTTGGATTTATTGGTTGCCCCAGTAAATTCACTGTTGCTTTTAACAATGTGCTCTTGTAGTTGGAGTTGACCAAAAAATGGTATTTCAAAGTTTGCCTCTTTGGTTTCTCTATAGTTTATGACATATTAAGGAAAATTTTCCTAATGAGCTACTGCAGTTTTTTGATAGCCAAGAATGCATCGTCATATGTTATTAAAGTATTATTATTATCAGCAATCTTCATGTAACTACTTTCTCTTGTTTGCTTTTGATGAATTTCATATTTCCATAATCTCAAATATCATGCTATTACTGCTGTTCAGGTAATAAAGAATGTCACAGCTTTAACTGTCACCATAACATTGCTTACATAATTAAAAAGATCCTAAAAATTCCTATAATTATAGACAAAAGTTCGACAGTTTTCATTTCAATTCAGGAGCTCTCTGACAATCTAACTTGTGAATTAAAAAAAATTAAACCACACAAAATCTGGTCACTGGCATTCAATAACAATAATTTTGAAGCCAATTCACAATTTAATGAAGAGAAGGAAGAAGCCATACTTTTTATCACGTGACTTAGATGAAGATGAAGAGTGCCTGTCAGATATACTTTCACCTGGATAAAGCTCATAAAATCCACTATAGTCCCACCTTAAAATGAAAAATAAAAGTTTATAAAAATTTTAAATGCCTGCTGTCATATCAGATGACCATGGCAATTTCACATCTCCATAATCTCAAATATCATGCTATTACTGCTGTACAGATAATAAAGAATGTCACAGCTTTAACTGTCACCGTATCATTGCTTACATAATTAAAAAGATCCTAAAAATTCCTATAATTATACACAAAAGTTGGACAGCTTTCATTTCAGTTCACGAGCTCTTTGACATTGTGAACTTGTGAATTAAAAAAATTAAACCACACAAAATCTGGTCAATGGCATTCAATAACAATAATTTTGAAGCCAATATTATTCAGAATTTAATGAAGAGAAGGAAGAAGGCATACTTTTTATCACGTGACTTAGATGAAGATGAAGAGTGCCCGTCAGATATACTTTCACCTGGATAAAGCTCATAAAATCCACTATGGTCCCACCTTAAAATGGAAAATAAAAGTTTATAAAAATTTTAAATGCATGCTGCAATTTCAGATGACCATGGCAATTCACATCTCCATAATCTCAAACATCATGCTATTACTGCTGTACAGATAATAAAGAATGTCACAGTTTTAAATGTCACCATAACATTGCTTACATAATTAAAAAGATCCTATAATTATACACAAAAATTGGACAGTTTTCATTTCAGTTTCCCAGCTCTTTGACATTCTAACTTGTGAATTAAAAAAAAATAAACTACACAAAATCTGGTCAATGGCATTCAATAACAATAATTTTGAAGCCAATATTATTCAGAATTTAATGAAGAGAAGGAAGAAGGCATACTTTTTATCATGTGACTTAGATGAAGATGAAGAGTGCCCGTCAGATACACTTTCACCTGGAAAGCTCATAAAATCCACTATGGTCCCACCTTAAAAAAAAAGGTTATAAATAAATGCCTGCTGTAATTCAAAACAGACTGGAATTTAGAAAGAATTTAAAAAATTGGAAGTCAATGAAATAAAAAAAATTGAAGTTAATAAGAAAGAATCTGGCAGCAGGTATCCAAAATTTAATAAATGAAATTTTAGTAGTGAGTTGAAATGGTGTGTATGCCAAGAGTTCATGCAAGAATAAGCAAACACATTTAAAACTTTAAAATACATCTATATACATATTACACAGAGTAAATGATTGTTAATTAAACATCTGTGTTGTTTTAGAATTTTAATTAACAGCCATTTACATTATTTAAATACATCTTATAAAAGTTTGTGTAGGTGAGTTTCACATCACAAGTTTGACTTTAATTCATTTTAAAGAGGAATAGAAAAAATGTAGGTAAAAAGAATTTATTTTTAGATGTGCAGCAAAGTAACTTCATGATCCCATTTTAATATTCTCACATCTCCACTTATATGACATACTGTATTTTAATCAAAATAAACAGTATTTAAAACTTTATATAAATTAGATGTACACTGCGCAAAAAAAAGGGGAGGGCAGTTCTATATCTCCCATTCCAGTCCGAAGATTGATGAGATTTAAAATGCATTTCTCATGTCTCGAAAGCGCGACTTAGGATATATATTATATTTATATATAGCATTGTCCTAACATAGGTTTTTTCGATTATTAACAAAATCGGACTTTTTCTGAAATAACATACTAAATTTTTTCTACGGCTCAAATTATGCCTGAACAGTAAATTTTGTAAGCTTTGGTGCAAAATTTATGGAGAAATTCATAAATTTTTATCTTGGCATGCTTTTTCAGCTTGCGCTAAGAATAATTCTATTGGCAAACTTCTTAATATATGGCAAACTATTTTGAGCGGAAAAAAAAAGTCACATCATTCCTATCTTTTTAGATTGTGCATGAGTGGAAAAGTGCCTAAACCACATTTGGTGTTAGTATCACTTTCAACAAATATGCCAAATTTCAAAACGTGCTAATATATAAATTCATGTATATCTACGAAAATTTTGAATAAAAAAACTGTCATTTTTTTCAGATGTGCTTAGAAATACATCTACTTTAAGATGATGGTAAAAATTTTAAAGGTTATAATTCAAATATATTTCGAAAAATTTATAAAAACTATTTAAAAACTACAAATTAAAAAATAAATCATAAAAGTGGGCAAATTTTATTTGGAATTAACCTAAATTTCGAAATGTTAAAGGAAGAATCAAATAAGTCTTAATATATATATATATATATATATATCAAATTCTGAAGAGCTAAAGTTTTAGCTAAAAAAATTGCGAGTTTTTTGGCACAGAATCAAAATATGGGGAGAAAACGATGTCATTTTAGAAAAAGTCCGACCTATATAAATGTAATGCACATCCTAAATCGTGCTTTTGAGACATGAAAAACATAAGATGTATTTCATCAATTGGCCCAGTAGAACAGGAGACATAGAACTGTCCCCCCTTTTTTTGCACAGTGTTCATAACATAACATTCTGATAAATAATTTAGATGACAACAGCATTCAGAATTTAAATTAATGGAAGAAACAGAAATCATACTTTTTGTTATGTGACTTGGATAAAGAGGAAGAATGCCTGTCAGATATAACTTCATCTGGATAAAGCTCTTGAAACCCACTATGGTCCCACCTTAAAATGGAAAGAAAAAAATTCAGTTTTAAGATAAATAATGAACTTCATTTGCAAGTATGCACATGATTATAATAAAATAAGTTTAAAATTACTATTGAATCAAAAAAAAAAAAAAAAAAAAAAAAAAAAATTGTACCACCCTCATACTATAGTCCTTACTTAGTATTTTATATATTGTATTATAAAAGATTCACTTAATAATTAATTTCTTAGACAACGAAATCTACCAGCAGCTCAGTGGTAAAATTACTGCACACTGGTACTTCAATCTAGATTCAGATTCTCATAAACAGGCTAGCCCCGTGGGCCTTTTTATGGTTTTGCCTATGTGTAACATGAAAGCAAGCCAGTTTTCTTTTAGAAAGTCCTTCACAAAGACATCTCTCCCCTATAGCTCTTGCACAGTTTACCATAATCAAATAATCTCCCTAGATTATTAAAGTAGATAGAGCATGTTGCTTTATAGTTGCAAAGAGCTAATTAAAATGTATATAATTTACAGGGTTCATACACATTTCCACACACTGAATTTAAGTACTTTTAATGACCATTAATGAAAAAAATTAAGGACCTATTAGCAAATGGGTACTGAATAAATTAAATTAAAGTTATTATCTATGCCTGAAACTTCACTTTTTAATATCATCCTAAAAATAAAATACATCTATAAGTAGAATGCATTATTATTAAACTTGAATTAATTATCAATAAGTTTGAGAATAAAAAAAACTTTACGAAATTTACCAAGTAGCATTAAATATTTTACATTCATAATACAGTCAAAAGTCGTTAATTCGGACACCCATAATCCGGACCTCAAAGCTACAAACTTTCTGCGCATGCGTCGCTTTGACGCATGCGCGTAAGACCTTTACAGCTGCGAATATGCATGTGCACAAAATATGTTTACGAATGCGCGTTTAATGTATAACAGACGGTATAAGCTAAGCTAAAATTATCCAATTCAGTTAATGTTGCAGATTGCGTTGTTCCTTAATCTTCGAATTGGATTCGGCTAATTATTTTTTGCAGACTGTTAGAGTAATTTTATAAAAGTAAGCTTGAACTTTCGATTATGTCAAATAGAATTTCTGATATATATTTACTAATATGTAAAGGATCTACAAAGCGAAAGTATGTTTTGAAGTCTATTAAACAAAAAGTGGAATTGCTGCAAAACACGGATAAAGGCATATCCTTTGTTTATCTAAACTTTAACGTTTATCTTTAACGCAGTGGTGCACAATGAATTGGAAGTTGATCTGTCAGCACTATCCTTATCTTCAGGGCAGATGTTTTAATTTTATTTGGCTTATAATTCCTTACTAAATGTAGTATTTCATCTCGATGTACTCTGTCTTTAATATGATTTAAATCAAATTCCTCGTCATTATAATTCGCTTCCGATAGCGAAGAAAGTGACAGAGGTTATTGAAAACCAAAATATTTCGATTGACAAATTAGTTGGTATTCTCGACACAGCAATTAAAGGACTTGAACAGCGGAACTTTGTAACTGAACAAGAAATTATGTCTGTTTATAGAATTAAAGATAATGTATTATCACATAAAAAACAAAGCAACTTAAACAACTTACATTGAAAAAAATGTTTAATAAAGTAAATAAATAAATATTAAGCTTTTTTTTTTTTTTTTTTTTTTTTTTTTTGTAATTTTGATACCCTTTAGATCCAATGTTCTTTATTTCATAAATTACAGTTTCATATTTTTAATTTTATAATTTCTGCATGCCATCTTACCAGATTTAAACTGATGATCTATAATCCGGAATCGCCGAAGTCCCGACGAGTCTGAATTAACGACTTTTGACTGTAGTTGGACATAATTGAAAGAAGATAAGTGACATTTTATTTACGTTTTATTAAAAGCTTTATGCTGATTTTTTTTTGTCTCATTTTGTTACATGCTTGCTCAGTTTAGAGGCTTAGTAAATAGTAGGTAGATTTTATGTCAAGCGGCATAGCATAAAATGAGAAGTAATATAATCAGCATGATTCATAACAAAAGACTGGATGCTGTCACCCCTGCTGCATGCATAGAGAGAGACCAGCTAATTAAAACAAACCTGAAAGGCCTGATGTAGGCACGGCTGACAAGTCTTGGAAGTTAGTTAGGCTCTGTCTGATGCAGCTACTGTCATAGCTTCGTGTAGAGTTTCAGGGATTGTAACCCAGTTTATATAATTTAAGGTTCCAATAAGCCACTAAAGCACCCGAGGTGATAAGTTGTTTTGTATTATTTTAAGTGTCACTGGATGCAAAGAATACGTTTTACATGAATTTTTACATTTTTGTGTTTTATCTTGTGACCACAGTAAGGATTAATGAAATTCAATAACTTGCTTTAATATGCAGAGATAATTTTTAAGGGTAAGCAGTTAGTTACAAATAATTAAATTAGGTAGTTAGATAACCTTAGACATTATGGATTTATATGGGCACTACTAAATTTTATTTATTTTGTTGGAGACAGCTGCTGCAGGCAGACGATTAGGTAATGGGTGGGCAAAGTCGACAGAAGGAGCACCGCATCTGATTGGACTATTTTTTATTATTCTTATTTTTTTTTCCCTTTAACTGCGAACTAAGCAGGGAAATTCCCTTTTCAATCAGTTATATGTATGCACTTGATTGAGTAATGTAACGCTTTCTGCTTGTGTGAGATATCCATATTAGAATCTTTATATTAATAATCCCTGCTGTGATTATTTAATTTGTAACCTGCACGATGTAGCCCTGAGAGTTGCAACATAGCAAATCTGGCGTCCGCTACTTTATATTTTCAATGAAATATGGATATAAAAGTTTTAAAAGCAAAACGAAAGTTGCTGAGAACAGCATTTATGATATGCTGCAATGATATAGCTCAGAAGATCAAAAACAAAAGTTTAGGAAGTGACGAACTCAGTACGTCGTTTAGGCAGATTCAAGACAAATTCACATGTTTGGAAACAACTCGAGAAGTTTCGAATTTGTTGCTAAGTGACGATATCCTTCAAGATGAATATTCCAAAGATTTTTTTAAAGCAGAAGAATATCGAGACAAGTTCTGCTTGATTTGCTCGCTGTTAGAAAATGCAAAGAAGGGAATTTGCTTACAGAAGGAACAACAACCAAGCAAAAAAGAAAATTCAAGCTTCTGAAACTGGAATTGAGGAAATTTAGTGGAGAACCAAAAGACTTTCTTGCGTTTTGTTCCCAGTTTGAAAAAATCCACAAAGATGATTCAATTGTGGATGAAGACAAATTTCAATATCTGTTACAATGTGTGGTAGCAGATTCTAAAGCGTCAAGACTGTTTTCCACCAACTAAAGAAAACTATTCAAAGGTAATTAATTACACAACTGAAAGAAAGCTTCGGGAGAGATGAACTTTTGATTCAGATTTATAAACAGGATCTACTTTCCATAGTAATGAAAAATGCTAGTTGGATCAAAAGAGATTTAGCTGAACTTTATGATTTACTTGAGAGCAAGCTTATGGCACTTGAAAGCCTCGGTAGAACTAAGGAAAAATTTGCAGAATTTTTGGAGCCACTTGTTGAGTCCTGTTTACCAGAGACTGTTCTTCGTGTGTGGGAAAGATGCCGCTCGATAGAAGATACTGCGTCACAGCAAGATAGAGCGCATTCTTTGGATAAACTTTTGTGCTTTCTTCGAAACGAAGTGCAAAGTGAGGAAATGATTAAGCTCGCTCGTACTGGGTTCGGAGCTTCACATTCTGCACATTCGCGTCCACATTCTGATGATCTGGGCTGCTGTACAGCTGCTACCTTGTAAATGTTCAAGACAATACAATAGGCGAAATTTACGTTGTATTTTTTGAAAGAAATCCCACAATTCTGCCGAATGTTTTTCTGCTTGCAAAATATCTTTAGAAGATAAACAAAAACTTTTGGTGCAAAAGCGAGGCTGTTTTCGCTGCCTACGAGTTGGACATAGTTCACGGGCATGCAAAAATAAAGTAAAATGTTTAACTTGTGGTAAATTTCACTATACCACTATGTGCTCAAATGGCGAACCTGTAAAGCCAAACAAACTGACAGTACTGTCATTTCAAGTAATGTATTATCTAATCAGTCAATGCAACTGCGTCCTAAATCGAAACAAACCATTATATACGATTTGTTTGGGGGGGCGAGAGACAAGTCCTCATTCGCATTTAGTGTCTGATGTTAATTTCAGAAATTTTGAGGGCACTTATGACCATAACTTTGAAATACTTTCTCAAAACAAAATATGTGAATGTGTTCCAAAAGTAGTTGATCACAATACCCTAAAAGAATTAAAAGAAAGAAATATTACCTTGTCTGATTTGCAAGCTAAAGAATATGACATTGAATTGCTTTTAGGAGCAGATGCCATCGGGGACATTATTACTGGCAGCTCTCTGAAACTGAACTCGGGTGTAACTGTAGTTGAGACTAAATTCGGATACACTGTGATTGGTAAAGTAAACAGCTTATCTAAAGAACCTACTTCAGCTACTATTCCAGCATTACTAGAAAATAATTTGTGCAATAATGTAGTTTCGTTGCATTGTGCTAATCTTAGCGTAACCGAACTCTGGAATTTAGATGCCATTGGCATAATAGACCCAACTGAAGATGTTAAACGTAAACTTGCTCACTCTGACACCATTAAGCAATTTAAAGAGAATTTAAATGTTCTTCCTGGTGGCCGATATGAATTGCCACTACCCTTTAAACCTGAAATTCTGTTACCTAACAATAAGTCTATGACTTTTAAAAGGCACCAAAGAATGTGTCAACGAATTAATGAGGAAAATCAGTTAGATGACTATAAGGTAGTTTTTAAGCAATGGGAAGACCTAAAAAGTAATAGAAAAGGTTCCTGAAACTGAAATTGATAATTTGAGTTATTATTTGCCCCATAGACCTGTTATAAAGCATACTAGCCAGACAATGAAGGTAAGGCCGGTGTTCGACGCTTCAGCCCGAGAGAGAAATC